AGTTGACCATATAAAAAGTGTTTAGTTGACCATACAAAAAGTCGAGTTGACCATAAACAAAGTCGAGTTGACCATATAAAAAGGCGAGTTGACCGTATAAAAAGTCCAACAGACCATGGAAATATGTAGGGAATATTGACTGGTTCGGCGCCCCATACGAGAGACCCTTGCAGGATTACCTTCGTTGGAAAGCATCTCATCTCTGCGACATTACCCATGCATGACGGATCTGCAAATTCAATGGAAATGCGATGCACTGTTGACATTTACTCTCGATCCATTGAGCAAAACAAGCTGAGATATGTCACCATGATTTCAGATGGTGATTGCAAAAACCATGCCAGTGTTGTGGAACTGAAACCTTTATGGTGACACTGATATCGCCAAGGAAGACTGCGTTGGTCATGTACAGAAGAGAGTAGGATGAAGGCTTCGTGATCTCAAGAATATGCACAAGGAAAGGAAGCTTGAAGATGGAAAGACTATTGGAGGGAGAGACCGTTTGACTGACACTAAAATTTGAAGGCCATACGGAGCCACAAGCAAAACAAAGAGGGAATGGGCCATATTGTCCCACTCTGCTTCCTTAGATGAAAACCCTCAACATGACTACTGCCCAGCGGGTGAAACTTTATGGTGTGAGTGACAGCGGTATCAGGCAAAAGGAACTGATAGTTACCAACACAAGTCTCCCTTGGCCCCAGCTGTAGTGGAAGTAATCAAGGCAACTTTTGAAGCCTTATCTGCAGATGAATTGCTGGATCACTGCCTTGAAGGGGCCAATCAAAACCAAAACGAGTCCCTCAACTCTGCTGTTTGGGGCTTATGCCCAAAAGATTCATTCGTAGGCCTGAGTTCCGTGGAGACAGCATGTGCTTTGGCTGTAGCACGTTTTAATGATGGTGCACACACTACTGCAAACATCATGAGAAAGTGTGACCTTAATCCAGGACGGTATGTTTCTGAAGCTGCTGACAAGGAAGGCAGTAAACGCACGTACCATGCAAGAAAAAAGTAATGAGTCGGTGCCTTGGAAGCAAGACAGCAAAGGAGGAGTGACAGAAGGCATGAGGAGGAACATAACATTGAAGGAGAGCGAGACCCTCATGTTCCTGGAGGATGTTGAGAGACATTGTCGCAAGTGAAAAGTTTCTTGATTTTCTCAAAAACACTTTTCGGGCCAAATTAGACACCGTTTGGCAAATGTAGATGCAAAGGTTTTAAGAAACGTACCCATAAACCATACATTTTTAGAATCTGATAAATTTTCTGTGCAATGAACCTTTAAGGTGGCTTGATAGGCTTAAAATCGAAAACTTTTTGTGTTTTGATTTTGTGTTTTAAGACATCTTTGGCCATTTTACTTTCATAAAAGCTACATTTTTTGGCCAACTTGTCTATGATTTTACATCAATTTGAGAGTTTTAACCAGTTTGTGATCGGTAACCATGGAAACCAATGTTGTTTGTGCGTTGTTTTTGCCCGAAAAAGGGCGATTTTCCAGTTTGATTTCAGCCTCATTCTATCCAATGCTATATTGGAGACTGGTAACAAGTTTGCATAGATAGGTGACACTTCATTTCGATTACACGGTCTAGTTTGAGGGAGAAAAGGTGCAAGCGACCGAGAGTGAGTGTTTACAATTCAGTGGTGAAATCTTTTCAGTAAAATCATGCCTCCAACGAAAGTATGCAGTCGAGAAAGGAAAAAGAGAAGATTTACTGGTAACCAGTACAAAAAGAAAAATAATACTTCAACCACAACTGTTCCAGTTCGAGAAGAATCAACCGAGGAAAGCGACGAGTCGAGTGGAGATGCCGGAGGTGTGAAATTCAAAAATTTCAAGTCGTTGCCAGCTTCAGAGCATAAAATTGAGACGCAGACAGATGATTCTTCAGAGGAATTCAGTAAAACTGAGGGTGAAAATCTCCAAGGTTTTAGATTTGTTGATATCTGTGTCCTTGCCTCGGTATTCGAGTCGTTGCAATGCCCTTCCTGTAAACAGGGAACTCTTTCTCTCGAGGAAGATGAAGAGTCTAAAATGGGCTTAGCTTCCCTTCTTATTTTGAAGTGTACCAAAGGAAAATGTTCCCTTTCTCATTCATTTTATACTTCTGCCAAAGTGCCTAATAAACAAGCTTTCGAGGTAAACAGAAGAGCGGTTTTAGCTATGAGAAACATTGGTGTGATTCACCAAGGACTTGTAAAGTTTACGTGTGTGATGAACATGTTACCTCCCATGAATGAGAACTCGTACCGTGATCATGTGAAAGCTCTGCGAGGTGCAACCGAATCTGTTGCTAAAGAAAGCATGTCTAGAGCTGCCAACGAAGTCAAAGAGTTTTATGAGCCCAACGAAGAAAGCCTCTATGATATTGCAGTGTCAGGAGATGGAACACGGAGGAAGAGAGGGTTTTGCCATCGTATGGAGTAGTTACTGCAATGTCAACAATCACAGGCAAGGCTCTAGACTGTGAGGTAATGTCCAAAGAATGCAAGCAGTGTGTGCAGTGGATGGGGAAAGAGAGATCACCTGAATTTGAAGAGTGGTGGGAACAACATCAACATCAATGCCATGTGCATTTTGAAGGGTCCTGTGGATTAATGGATGCCACTGGATTGCTAAACATTTTTCAAAGGTCTATTGAAAAATATGGAATACGATAAGTTGAATTCCTTAGAGATGGCGACAGCAAGGCGCACAAACTCTTACTTCAAGAGGCTGTGTATGGCAATGTTGTGGTCCAAAAACTTGAATGTGTGGGCCATGTCCAGAAGCGGCTGGGTTCACGCCTACGTTCATTGAAAAGGGACTGATGAAGACTCCTTTAGAGGACGGCAAACCAGTTGGTGGCAACGGGAGGCTGACGGAAAACCGAATAGACAAACTGCAAGTGTATTTTGGAAAGGCCATCAGGCAGAACACTCACAGTATCAGAGCAATGCAGACTGCAGTCATGGCCATTTGGCATCATAGTAAATCAAGCAATGACAACCCAGATCATGGCCTATGCCCAGAGGGAGAGAACTCCTGGTGTGGGTTCCAAAGAGACATTGCTAAAGGAACTACTGACTATGTACACAAAGACCCAATACCAGAGGCTGTGGCAAATGTCATTCTGCCAACTTTTTGGGCTTATAATTCATCCCGTCATTTCATAACTGTAAATTAGAGTAGCAATGCAGTTTTTAGGTTTACTGCACAGAGTTATCTTTACTCTTGCTAGAAAAGATTTAATTGGCCCTCTATATAGTAAAGTAACTTTAGCACTGTTGCCAGATGAGTGATTGCACAATTAGGGACCTGGGTGTATAGGGGGCAGTATGCTTTCTCAATTAAACAATTGTCATTTTTCAATTTCCAGTGTGATAGAGTATCTTTTGCAGTTTAATTTGATATATAGATGATTGGTATATCTTTAAAAGTTTGCGAGCACTGTGTTCATAAAATGTATGAAAATGAAGGTAGGCTGTCCCCTTAATTGATTGGGAAGCGCGTTACATAAAACTGTTGTGACGGTGATGGTTTGGTTTGGTTATTACAAATTTCAAGCTGCAGTTAACTCTCTCACCCTAAAAGAGTGCCACTTAAAGATTCTACTCCAGCTAATGCCAGTAGATTTTACTCTGTGGCAGGGTTAAGCGATTTTACCCATCAATGAAGGGGGAACAATGCCAGCACTGTATGTCCTACTTCCAGGTGAAGGATGTTGAATAATTGCATGAATTTCAAAAATACTTAGAAAGACTGAGGAGACAGAGAGATGATGAGGGTGTCCAGGAAGTGGATGGTCTGGTGAATGGGAAAAATAAAGCAAAGGGAATCATTGTCTTTTCTCAGGATTTCAGCATGGTGGAACAGGCAGCTGTAGTAAAGTTACCTCATTTTCATGGTGCATTTTTGGCGATAGGGAATGCAGGCTTGTGAAGTAAGTACACATATCTTGATTATGTTAAAAATGAAATCATGGTGACAACATGCTGTAACATAGTTCTTGGGCATCTTTACCACTGGTTAAATAATAAATGGCATTCTACAGAGTTTTACAAATGTGATGGTAAGGTACAGTGTTTGGAACATATTATTGTAAGCTCACATTTTTACATGTCACAGTGGACAGACAAGGGCATTTGCCAGAACTGCAAAGAAACAGTTTTACCATATAGAGCCTCAGCTTTGGATTTTTATCAGATTCATTTTGACAGCACATGTAACTGACATTGTTTTAATCACTATGGTCACTTACTTTAAAGTCAATGGAATTTGATCCTCGTCTCTGTCTGTGTCCACAGAATGTTTTGCCTTATATCCAAGGTAAATTTTACAAAGACAACATCCTTCAATCTTGTCCTATTCACGAATGTTGATGATTTCAAGGCAGTCAAGGAACGGATGATAGAGGGGGGAACAGCAGATTCTCAAACAGCACATTTCCACGTGACAAATGTTCCCCAAAAACATGAGAAGGCAGGTAATAATATGATTGCACATTTATGATTAGTTAAATTTGCATGCTTCACCGTCCAGATAGCTCCTATTATCAATGTTATCCATAAGGAACATAATCTTGGGGAATATTGTATTGATGGTTCTATGTCACACAACAAAGTTGAAAAACCCAGAGGGCTTCTTGATGCGTGTTCTTTAAAAACTGCGATATCTGCCGAGTTTTTAACATTACCAGATTTAAGTTACAGCAAGTGTTAATAAATTTTAAAGTGATGATGGCATTTAAAAAAATCAGTCAGGCCATCAACTTTGTTCTGAAAGCAGAAGTTAATTGGCCAACTAGAATTCTGAAGAAAGTGTTAGCTACATGTGGCCTCTGGTTTAGTCTTTACTCAAACCACAATGTTTGTGAACCGTTTTATCCAGTTCTCCTTGATGAACATGCAGTCTGATTTCTTGTTTTGAGAATGTTGATCAATGAAAATCTAATTTGGAGAAGATTGTTCAAGTGTTAAATTTCAACATCACCACTACAAACTGAAATAAAGAAAAGGAGTTTGTTGTGTTTATGTTTTCTCTTTTCATTTGTTTCAGGCCCTTATTTGAGAGAAGCAGTAAAGCCCTTGGTCATGGGCCACTGGTGGGTGTCGTGACAAGTCACCGCCAGACATTTGTCCGTCTCTACAAGCCCAGAAAATTTAACTACTGTGGGCTATGCCCCAAACCAGCCACTGCCATGGAAGACGCCTTTCCCTGGTTGGTGGAGAATCTCTCTAGAGAAGGAGATACAGTTGTTGATGTTGATAGTAAAAGTGGGGGTGCCTTTGTCGCAGCCCTCAAAGGAAACAGACATGCTGTGTGGATTAGCTCTGCCTCCTTTGAAATGCAAAGTGAAATGAAAGCAACAGTTGACAGTACTTTTGCCAGTGACTCTGATGACAGAACCATCTCTGCAGATTAGGATTACAGTGATCATAATATTTCAAATGTAATTTAAGCATTTACATGCTGATCATTTACCATTGTTTTTCTATAATAATATTTAAATGATCTTTTGAAGTAGTGGAGCACAATTATTTTTAATAGTTTAAAGTTCTTGTATATTATTCTA